GCACGGTTGCCACTTGAAAATTTTTTTCTGTACCAAAATTGGTTTAAAAAGGTACCATTTCTGTAAAAAAAGGTCCAAAATTATTCTATTGTCTTTTTATAAGAAAATACAATTTATATAAAATGTACAAAAAGTATAAAACAATACAATATCCACAATAAAGTTGGGTCGCCGAAAATGTACCATTTTTTGAACATGAGTACCAGAGTACCAAACGGAAAAAAAAGTACCAATTTTGGTACTAAAGTACCATAAGTGGCAACCGTGAATACGCGTAATGAATACACGGAATGAACATAAGTTTCGTTTTTTAGAGTACTCTAACTCTCAACATTCTAAAAGTAGTTGAAGTATTTGAGAGTACTCTAAGTATTTAATTTTCAGTTCATGCAAAAATTATGTGTTTTTAAATAGTAAGACACAAATTTATTTATATAATTTTTTTTATTTATTAAATATTATTCCAAATATTGACAATACTAATTTGTTAATTTTATAATAAAGCTAATTACATATATAATATGATATATTTATGAAATAAAATTTTGAACAAAAATTTATTTAAAAAAATTATAATGAGTTTTAAATAAAAATATGAGAAATAATAATGCTCTATAGTAATTTTAGTTTGCTTTTTAAAGTTGATATATAAAATATCACAAATTACAAATTAATTTAATATACAAATTAAATGTTTAGCATCGCCTGACTTAATATCTCTTTTTCAAGATTGTTGTGTTATTGATCTCTACTTAAATTCCATATTTATATAAATATTTATACAATATCTACACAATATCTAAAATCTATACAATATACAGAAACTGAGTACATATTCAAGGAGATATTTTTATATTAGTTATAAACTGAATCAATTTCTAAACATTCTAAAAATCACTCTTGACTCAAGAAGACACAAAGAAATATTTTTACAATAGTGCCTATTATGAATTGTCAATCGGTGATAGACAGTAGAAAAATTTCTGCTGCTGGTAGAAAAAATCAAATTTTGGTATTATGAATTGCAAACCGATAGAAGTTTTTCTATCAGCGGTAGACAAATTTCTCTACTGCATTTGAGCAGTAGAAGTTTGTCGATCGTATAAAATATATGCTGTTAAAACGCTTTATATAGTCAATTTAACGTATAAATTTAATATAACTTAAATATTACTAATTTAATAGTTAGTAATAATTCATTAAGATTTAATATAATATAATATATATTTAATATATTTGATTTCAAGTGTAGTGTTATATGTATATTGAGAATAATGATTGTTGCATTTTTGTTTTGGTTTGTTATTTATTTATGTGTATTTATTCAAATATTTTCAACATACGCAAGCATTTTCCAAATTTCTTAGATATATTTTTCAACGAATAATGTATTTACATAAAATTAAGAAATAATAAAATTAATGAATTTTGTTGTAGGGAAAAATTGAAGAGCAATAAAAAGCAGATAGCAAAACTTGTTGCAAATATTGGAAAAAATATTGTTGCAAATATGGAAAAAAGAAAGGCATTTGGAATAAGACACATTCCAGACCAATGTGGGACAAAATTATGATTGAGCTTTCTAGGGGCCTAGAAAATATTGAAAACATTTTAGTGAACGGAGGCAAGAGTATTGTGATTAAAAACTTACTGTAATACAAGAAATTTGTTATGGAATTAAAATTGGCTATGGAAAACACCGACTAAAGATATAAATATCGGTCCTTTAAGCTTCAACTGCTTAAAAAAGATATGAATATTACTAATTTAATTTAATGTAATATATATATAATGTAAATATAACTACATATTATAAAAATATTAAAATTAATCTATATATAAACATATTTATTTTTAGAATATTAAAGTTTAAGTTTAATATATTACTTTAGTTTATTAATGTAATGTAATATTAAATAATAATTTCGTATTAAGAAAATATATTTTTATTTATTTTAAAAAGAATTTGAATTCAATTTTAATGTTTCTTAGTGAACACAATACAAACAAAATAAGTTCAATTAAAGCTGGGCGCTCTAATAGTGCAAATGTTTGTCTATCAAGTTTCATAATACCAAATTTGCCTACCAATCGACTCGGTAGACAAATGTCTATTGTCTATTGGTAGACATTTCATAATAGCCACCATTATTTCGGTTCATTATTTTCATTTCAAACAGTATTTAAAAAGTCAATTAGCAAAAAATACTTTCTAGGTCATCATGTCTGAAGGACACTCTAGAGATAGAGATATAGGAAGAAAATGGGATTCCGGCGCTTCCAAAATAAAAAGAAAAGTTGAGTTGATTGCGTCCAACCAAGCTATGAGTGCTGCTATGAAAAAATTTCTTAAGAAACTATTAGAAACTTTTACTCCACAGTCTGATGAATCTCTTATACAATGTTCTGAAGCAGGGGTTGCTTCAGAGTTCAAAGAATTTGATGTCCAAATTTCTACACCAACTTTGGACGCTGGTGAATTTTCTATTGACCAACTTACTGAACTCCATAAAACATTCGAAATTGAGAAAATCAGTGATTTGAAAAATGAAGAGCAAGCAGTTCAATTAAGAGCGTCATTTGTTAACTTAGATCCGAGGAGGTGGGTGTTTCCAATAACGGATTCACAACATCATGATTTAATTAGCAATGACCCCCAGAAAAACGTGGAAAAATTTGATGAAAATCATCCTAAGGATTATTATAAGAGACATTTTTCTAATTTTTATTTCACTCGAAAATTGAGTAACAACGAAACGCAACGTCGTACATGGTTAGTTTACTCTAAGTGCCAAGATAAAGTCTATTGCTTTCCATGTAGACTTTTTTCGCATATGCAGACACTGATGGTAAAAGAAGGCTGCTGTGACTGGATAGATTTAAGTCGCATATTGCAAAGACATGAACAAAGTCAAGGGCACAGAGAATGCATGATTGATTGGATAGAATTTTATAAACGAATCACACACGGAAAAACCATAGATAAAGAAAACGGGAAATTGATTAGAGAATCGCAAAAGTATTGGTATAACTTGTTTTAAAGATTGATTGACATAATAATATTCTTAGCCTGTCATAATCTGCCATTTAGAGCTCTCGAGAATCCCTTAGCATGAACGATAGTGCAAATAGTGGTAATTTCATAGATCTATTTAAGTTATCTAAATATGATCTTACACTACGGCAGCACCAACAACGTATTAGTGACAAACAACAAAATCTATTTCCTTTTTTCAAAGTCGAGCAAGCTTTGGAATCTTGTAAAAATCAAATTAAAATTAACCTTAAAATCTCTGTCTAAAACCAGATGGGAGAGTAGAATCAGAGCAGTAAGAGCGATATATTTGCAATTTGATGATGTTATTGAATGCGTGATTGAACTGAAAAATCAA